GTCCAGCTAGGACCTGCAGTCTCCTGAGCATAGCCAGCCACCCTGCACTCTGCGGACCTCCTTGCCTGACCCCTAACCCGGGTGCTGCTGAGGAAGTGGAGGGGATCCTTGCCTGTTCTCACCGAAGCCCTTCATCCCTTAGTGCCTCTTGCTGTGGCAGTGTCCAGGGCTTGGTCCCCTGTGCCTCCCAGCTGCTCCGAGTGGCTTTTCCCCACAGGTGGAGCCCACCTCCCCCAGGGCAGCCTTGGCCTCTGGAACCCAGGGTCCCAGTCAGAGCCTGACTGTGTCATCTTTCCTAAGCTTGGCTGGTGGGCAGCCGGCCCCTGGCTAGTGTCATTGTTCTCTGGGGACTGGCTGGGTATGGCATCACCTGTCTGGAGTTTGGGAGGGGCAGAGCCTGCTGACCTGCCCTCTCATCACCTCTCTCCAGCAATGGCCTTAAAATGCTACACCTGTCTCGAACCCACGGGTGTGTCCAGCTGCATCACCATCACCAACTGCGATGCCAACGAAACCATGTGCAAGACCACGCTCTACTCCCGAGAGATTGGTTAGTAGGCATTGGGTGAGGCGGGGCTGGGACCCAGGGTCACAGCTGCCTCCAGCCCAGTCTCCCCTGGCCAGCTGGGCCCCCTGTCAGCATGAAGCCACCAGCTATAGGACCACTTGGGTCTTCTCCCTCCTTCCCCTCTTCCTCCTCCTAGTGAGTGAGGCCAGGAACCCACCGCACAACGCCATGTGTGCCCCGGCCCCTCACTCAGCAGGGACCACGGGGATGGGGGACTCTGGGGCTGGGGCTGGGAAGCAGTAAAGAACTGACCCTGAGGGCCAGTGCCTCCTGTACTCCACAGTGTACCCCTTCCTGGGAGACTCCACAGTGACCAAATCCTGCGCCAGCAGGTGTGAGCCCTCGGATGTCGACGGCATTGGCCAGACCCGGCCAGTGTCCTGCTGCAACACTGAGCTGTGCAACGTGGACGGGGCGCCCTCCCTGGGCAGCCCCCACAGCCTGGCCCTCGCCCTCACGCTCACCCCGCTCCTGGGGCTCCTGCTGTAGAGCCCTGCCCACCCTACTGCCCCACCAGTGCCCGGCCCCACCCCTCTGCCTTGAAGAAATGCAGCTGCCTCTTGAACCTGGCCTCTGGGTCTCATCGCTGGGCACAGGCCTGCCCTGGGGGGCAGGGAGAAGGGTCTCCTGGCGGCATCTGACTTTGTCCCCATCCCTGTCCACGTCTGTTTCTCCTCCTGTCTCTTGTGATGGGTTCAAGGTCCACTCCACAAACAAGGATAGCCACCAAGTCTGGGACCCCCACCCAGATCAGGCAGATCTTTGCCCCTCAGGCCCTTGGGGACCAAGGGGAGCCAGGTCAGGGTGGGCGGGGGTGGAGAAGATCACCTGGGCCCCCCTCATTCACCCTGGCATCTGCCCCTCCTCCGACTCTGCAGACCCCCACTGGCCCTGCCCATCTCATCTCCCTGCTCCAGGGCCCTGCGTAAGGTGGCCCCCTCGGCCCCTGAGTGGTGTTTCCAGCCACACTGAGATGGGCAGGTCAGGCTGCCTCCTGGCCCTGCCTGAGTCCTCCCTCCCCCTGAGCCCGGGCCCCTCTCAAAAGTTTCCTGCCCCTGCTGGAGGGAGGCTCTGTCCCGGAGGAGGCTCCCACAGCTGGGCACAGGAGGACATGCCTGTAGGAGAAGAGGTCCTGTGGGGCTCTGCAGTCCTGGGCCTGGGTGGAACCCACAGTCCAGTGAGTCCCACCACCAGCTCCAAGGCACAGCCCAGCATGGCCACCATCTGTCTGGAAGCTCCTGGGGACAGAACAAGGGCAGCTTCCCAGAATGGAGGTGGCATGGAGATAGAATGTCTAGTGCTGGCCTGGGTGCCCCCATCTGGGGCTGTGACCCTGAGCCCTGACTGTCAAGAGGGAGAGATGTCCTGTCCACACCACCTGGCTTTTCTCCCATCACACACACACACACACACACACACACACACACACACACAACCCTGCGCGTACATATGTACTCCCCAGACTGCAGACCAGGCCCCGTGCTGACCAGAGTTCAGCCTGTGATCAGATCAGGCTCAGTCTGGAACCCAGGATCAGGACTAAACCGTGACCACGGTCAAGCCAGGCTCAGTGTGTGGTGGGAAGGAGTCTGACCTCAACCGCACTGGCTGAGAGCTAACTGGGCATTGCTATCGCCTGAGTCCTTCAGCCCCACCGACTGACCGGTAGGGAAGGAACCCAGAAAGTGAGTGCTAGGGCAAGGACCACCTGAGCCAGGCCTCACCACTATGGTGGCCTGGAAGTCCACAGCCAGAAGGAACTGGACAGGACAGGAATTAGGGTAGGAGAGAAGGGAGGAGTTGGTGGCTCCAAATTTGGGCTGGAAGAGCAGACAGAAGCCGGCAGGGAAGGAAAGAGCTGAGTTCAGTCTGGTGGGCCCGGCCAACCCCAGCCCTGGTCTGATTGGTGCAGTGGGCTGGGCTCTGCTCCTCTCCTGGACCCTTCACCCAGGCCCTGAAGTCAGGAGGGACAAGACCACCTGCCTGTCTCTGACCTCACTCTTGCACCGATTCTTGCCCTGACCAGCAGAGGGAGCCCCATCAGTGATTGCCCACCTTGACTTTCCTGCCCAGGAGTGAGTACCCTGCCTCACCACCTTCCGGGCACAGATATCTGGGTCTCTGATGCAGACAAACATGCCCTCAGACTGCCTGGCAAGCCTGGGCTTGAGCCAGGGTAAGGCCAGAGCTTAGCACCAGCCTCTAAGGGGAACGTGGAACCCACCCTGCTGTCCCCAGGGCCTCGATGGCTCCTACATGCCTTAGGTCCTGGCATCCACCTCCGCATCCTCTTTCCATTCCTTACCCATCCACCCACCCTCCAGCAAATGCTGCCCAGTAGTCAGCACGGCAGAGCAGGTAGGATGCAGGAGTCCCAGGGGAGTGGGATCGTGCTCCTCCACACAGGGAGCTGACTGTCTCGCAGGCCCTCAGGCCAGGCAGGGAAGGGCAGGCGTGAGTGCCAGTGGCGGGGATGGCTCTGCCGCATGCTGAAGGAGTGGAGGGCAGGAGCGTTTCTGGGGAGAGCAGTGTGCGCTGTGCTGGCATCGTAGCCAGTCCCTCTGAGTGGAAGGTACAGGGTGTGGCCAAGGAGGAGGAGCCAGGAAGCCTGGGGATGGTTGAAGGGAACAAGCAGGGGCCTGTGGGCCGTCTTGGGAAAGAGGAGAGGATTGCTTTGGTTGCCTGGCCAGGCTGGGGAGTGACCCTGGAGACTGGGGGCTCCCCTGCTAGGGCAGGCTGTGAGAGGACACAGTGAGGGCAGGGTCCCCCGAGTCTTGGAGGTTGACACACGCCCTCTCCAAAACCCGAGGACGAGGAAGATCATCAGGGTCACGGAGAGGAGAAAGCCTCTTCCAGTGGAAACCCGACGGGCGCCCCCCATGTTGACGATCAACACCTGAGAAACGCCAAGCAAGCCACAAAGTAGATTTTATTTAAGAAACAGAACAGAGAGAGGAAGAGAGAGACTCCTCCAGAGAAGAGGGCTCCAGAGCTGGTGCCCGGGGGAGTGGGGATGTCCCCCCTTTATAGATTTCAGGTCCTTCCCACCCTGCCTAGGTGACCAAAAGGGCAGGAGGAGAGCCGTCCAGGGGTGAGTGCTTGTGCTATGAACTGTGATCCCTCCCCTCCCCTGGAGGCTGTTAGCAATGGGTGTGTGTGTACCCACCACGTGCTCACACCGTGTGATCTGTCCACTCCTTTCCTTTGATAATCAGCTACCTGTCCTTTGTCCTGGTCTCACAGTCACCACAAGCAGCTGTCAAGACCAGTGCTCACCCAGGCCAGTGCAAAGCCTTGTCCCCAACTGCAGGGTCCTAGGCTCAGAGAGTGAACTGCCCTCCATGTCAACTCTGCCCTGGTCTGGATTCCAACCTGCTCTCCCCGTTGGTTCCACACCTGGGGACACAAGGATGTGGGCAGAGGGGAGGGCAGCTGCTTAACTGGAATGATTTCTGCCCTGCACAGTGGCGTCTGCCCAGGCATGGGGCTGCTTTCCCACCTCCAACTGGGTGCTGGCTCCGATGGCCACCGTGGTGCCCACTCTGCCTGCAGAAAGCTGCCAGTGTCCCTGTTCTGTCACTCCACCCAGCATCCTCCCTGCCATCCTGACCTCCGAGGTCCTCCCTCCTCAGGCACCCTCACCTGGCGACGTGTCAGTGTCTGCTGTCCCCAGCGCCCGGGCCTGTACCTTTCCTTGGCACTTGGGCACCGTCTGCTCATGTGCTGCAGGTTCACCTGCACTGTGGGCTGCAGGGGACTCACAGCTCCAAAGAGACCTGTCCTTTGCTGAGCACTAGCCAGTCACCCTGTGGAGCAGATGTCCCTCTGTCCAGTTTACAGATGAAAGAGGGAGACCAGAATGAGTGTCTTGGGGTAAACCCAGGCCACCCAGGAGGCCACAGGGGGACAGGTGGAGCGGGCGCTGGGCTGTCTACCAGGCTTGGAACCACACATTCCCTGGCGCCTCTCAGAGTGTCTGGGCGTATTGTGGCCTCAGCCGGGAAGAGCCGCCCCTGCTGCTGTCCCTGCACCTCCCCACAGGTGGCCCCATTGTTTGAAGTATCATTCTTTCCCTTGCAAAACCACACCCTTTGCTTTCTTGCAAAGCCTTGTACAACTCCCTTCACCCACAAAGCCAGGACATTTCCACCCTGCAGCAGACAAACAGGAAGCCAAGGTCTGGAGGGGCAAGGGAGCCACCCAAGGCCACAGGGAGGCAGCTGCCTTTCAGCATCCCACCCGCCACAGAGTGTGACCCGCTTCTGCCACAGAGGACCCACCTTCAGCCTTCCAGGGAGCCACGTGCACACCTGCCCAGTGAGCTCCCACTTGTCTAGTTACCTACCCCTCCATCCTCCACCCGCCCACCCACCCACCCATCCATCCATCGTCTTCCGTCTGCCCATCCATACATACTCCTCTCCTTTCATCTCTCCACCACTCACTTTCTCAATACCACCCATCGGAATGTCATTCTCCACCCACCCGCTCATCCCTCTACCCATCAATCCAGCCGTCCACCCATCTATCTAGGCATCCTCCATCTATCCATTCTCCCATCCATCATCCATCGACACACCACCCACCCATCCTCCATTCATTCACCATCGATCTGGCCACACAGCCAACCACCGATCAGGACCTTGAAGAACAGCAATGGAGGAGGCGGATCCCGGGAAGGGCTATGAAGGAGGAGCACCTGCGTGGCCTTATGACACAGGGAAGATGTGAGCCATCACTGTGAGAGGCCTGGCACAGGAGAGGGTGTGGACGTGAGTTGGTGTGTGGTAAGAGGTGGACAGTGAAGAAGGCCAGAGGGCTGGCAGAGCCCTGCTGTCAGGGGCCTAAAACTCCCGAGCTCAGTTTTGGTCCAAAGGTCCTCAGTTGGGAGAAGACGGGCAATGATGAGGGGCCAGGCCGGGGCCCCACACCCAAAGGGGCCTACTGGCCGGCAGCACCCCCGTGCCACCCCGACTTTACTAGGCACTCGCCTTTTCCCACAAGGGTCAGGCCTCTGCTTTGTGGGCACCAGGTGGAGAGAGTCCAGGACCGAGGACACCTGCCAGGACCCTAGCTGGCCAGCCGGGCTGCAGTTCCTGTGGGGTCTCCCTGCAGCTGACCTACACCTGGGTCTGGAGGCATCTGTGAACCCCACGGGCAGAGCCAGGTGACACGAGGGGGGTCTGCTGGAGGTGTGCCAGCACAGGGCAGGGCCACACTTCTCAGACTGGGGCTCCTAGGGAGGCCTCCGAGGGGTCCCGCCCCGGAGGGTTGGTGAGTGACAACCGTTCCCGTGCCACCACCCATTCCTGCCAGCCCTCCCCACTCTGCCCTGTGCCGCCCCACTGAGTCACGGCCAGATCCGCCACCGCCCAGGAGCAGGAGCTGCGGGGGCTGGTATAAATCCTTAACATGGGGCCAGCCACCCTCCCAGCGCCAAGCACCCAGGAATGGCCTCTTCCTGGGCCACGCGGCTGCTGCTCCTTGCAGCCTGGAGCATGGGCTGTGGTGAGTAGTGGGGGAATCCGGCGGGACCCTGCCCTGGGCCTCAGTCTGCCCACCTCCCAGAGGGCGGGGGCTGTTGAGGGCTGTATGGCTCTCAGTGAGCCTCCAGAGCCCAACTGCACCCTGGGAGAGTGTCATGGCTCCACTCTCCTTGAAGGGAGACGAGGCTGGGGTGGTAAGGTGCAGGTTCACACCCGTCTCCAGCCAGCCCGCCCTGGAAGGAGCTCAGCAGGTGTCCTCCAGCCTCATCCTCCGGGCTCCAGGATGGGCTGAGCTGGCCAGGTGATGAGGTTCTGCTGCCCCCCCAGGTGAGGCCTTCAGGTGCTACTCCTGCGAGCGGCCCACGCCCATTTACGCCTGCAAAAACATTACCTACTGCAAGCTGGAGGACACGGCCTGCAAGACCACACTGGAGAAGGTGGAGAACGGTGAGGCTGGGCCCAGGGCAGGCCCCAGCACAGGGCGGGCCCACCTCTCCCAAAGGCCTCCCTGGGTGCACCTTGCTCCTCTTGGCCTGGGAGGCAGAGGGGCAGGAAGTGCAGGGTGGAGGCTTCCCATCTGAGAGGGGTGCCTGCAGCAAGGGAAGCTCAGTACCCCAGACCCCAGGCCCCAGGCACTGGGAGTGGGGTGCACTCTGCTCAGACTGTTGGATGGTGCTGCTGCAGCCTCAGGGCTGGGCTCCCTCTCAGGCCCGGGCACCGCAGGTGCTCCGGGCACTAGTGCTATTATTAGAAAAACCTGTCACCGTTGGGGTTGGGGACTGGAAGGCTCCCAGATCTGGGACAGGAATGCCGGTGGGGTTGGAGGAGGTAGGAAGCAAAGGTGGTGATCAGGAGCAGCAGGGGGGACACACAGAGCCAGGCAGGCACTGCAGTGAGTGCAGGCTCTGACGCCTGCCCACCCTGCAGAGTACCCTTTCGACCAGAGCCCCATGGTGACCCGCTCCTGCTCCGACTCCTGCCTAGCCACTGACCCCGACAGCATCGGGGCTGCCCACCCCGTCTTCTGCTGCTTCCGCGACCTCTGCAACTCAGTGGAGGCAGCCCAGCTGGGTGCTGGGACTCTGGCCACAGTGGGAGCAGTGCTCCTCGGGCACCTCCTCTCCTGACAGGGCCTAGCACTGCTGGCGGCCACCCCTGCCTACATGTCTCCGTGAGCGGAGCTCACTGGGCCTCAGGCCACTCACTCTGTCCCCAAAACGTGTACAAAATAAATAAGCCGAGGGTGGAGATGAGTTTTGTCCTTCCTGGGCACTGAGAGCCCACAGAGGGGTCTTTAGGAGAGCTGGGCCCGCTTGGCCTGCTCCAGGCTCCCGACCCTCTTTTTCACCCAAGGCCTTTGGGTCCATTTCCCAGAAGGGAAGACAGAGGCCTGGGGCAGAAATGCCTTCTGGGTCACCCTTCCTGCAGACTAACCCCACGTCTCAGGCCAGAACCTGTTCCTTAGTCCTAGGAAAACTCTTCCTAAGAAGCACCCCTCAAATCCTGGGGGTCACTGCTACCCCAGGGTGGAAAGGGGTTAGGATCTGATTTTCCCCATGACTGGGGGGGGTCTGGTTCTGACCAGCCTGGCGGTGCCATCGATGCAGCCAGGGAGCAGAACAGGAGGTCACAAGAAGCCCCCCACCCCAGGTCTTCCCAGGGCAGATGCAGTCATCCATCTGATGACAGGCTTCAGTCACCCCTCTGACAATGGTCTGCTCATCACCTTGGGACAGCTAGGACAACCAGATGAGACTGGACAGTGCCAGCTTGTCTCCCAGACCCCATGGGCAAGACGGGTTCTGTGCCAGCCTGGACTTGTAGCAGTCCCAGTGAGCACCAGCCAGGGCTGCCTGGGGGACATACAGTCCTCAGGGCTGAGCCCCAAGAGTGTGCCCTCAGGTTCTCACCCGGCCCTCGCCCCTCATGGCGCTCCGCTCCATCCTGGGTACCCAGTGTCGGTGCCCTTTCCAGGCCCCGGTTCCCATCCGTGTCCTCGTGGCAGTTTCTGGGTTCTGCCCCACGAAGTCTTGGGTCATCAGGCTCCGTAGGCCACCAGGCCATGACCCTGGGGTCCCTTTGGCACCTGCTAAGCACTGATGACAGCAGGCTGGCCGGCTTGGCAAACACCCAGCACACACCCAAGGGCACAGGGAAGTAGCTGGGATGATGGTGAGGCTCCTCTACCTGCCTGAGGGCACCCCTCTGGGTTCTCTGCGGGGCTGGCACCTGCAGTCCCCAGTTAGGATCATTTCCGCCTTATGGACCTCCAGTTCGCCCGGGATCCTGGATGAGAGTCTAGGGGTCAGAGCCTCAGCCTTGCCCTGGGGACCGAGCAGATGTCACTCCCCAGCAGAGGAATTGGGGATGTGCCTCCAGGCCCTTTGAGAGGCAGAGGAGGTGGGGATGGGAGAGCCTTGATGGTCATCCCCATCCCTGGGGCGGCGGCAGCGCGGCCAGCAGAGGGCGCGCGTCCGAGCCCGGGAAGTCGCGATAGTCAGGATCCCTCCGCGCACCAGAGCGCTGCGGGACCTGGGGGAATCCACACCCCGAGCCTGGCTAAGCCTCCAGCCCAAGAGACGCAGGGAGCTCCGAAAGCCGTTGCTCTTGGTTGACCTTGGGAACGCTCACCTGCCCCGACCGCACACATGGATATAATATCTTATTCGAATCATTAAGCCCAGAATTCTGTCCAGGAGAGATGCTCCACCGACCCCAGGGGCAGCTGCTGAGCCAGGGACCCCGGAGAGGCTTCTCCGCATGGTGCCAAGCAAGGGCCATGGCCCCATCCTGAGCATCCCCTGCCGGCCCCACTCCCAGCTCCTACCGGCACTGGGTACAGTGGCCCGATGCCCACCACTTCCAGTCTGGAGTTCTGCCCAGACAAGCTGCCCCTGTCTGGCAGCACTCAGTTCAGACCTTGCCACATCCCAGCAGCGCCCCAGCGCGTCCTCTCCAGATGTCCCTCAGAAAGCCTTGAAAGGTCTAGCCAGAACCTTCCTGGACCCCTTAGATGAGGGGGGAAAGGCATTGAGTGGCCACCCCTGTGCAGTGCCCACAGGCTCACAGCAGGGTGCAGATAACAGAGCAGGGGGCAGTCTCTCCAGTCCCACTCCCCTTGCCTTTCCAGGGTTCCCTGGGCAGGTGGGCAGAGCACAGGCATGGTGCATACTCCACATTCACCTGCTGTCTTGGGGACCACTCCTCAAAAGGCCTGCACAGCAGCTCCTATGCTGTCTCTCCTCCACCAAGGCCCAGTGGCCTCTGCCCCTAACTGCCACCTCCATCCTGTCCCAAGTCCCGAAGTTGAGGGTCCCTGACCCAGAATGGGGCATGACCTCTTAGAGCCATCCCTTGACTGGAAGGAACCGGGCGGCCTGGGCAGGTACCTGTGGTCTAGTGCAAGGCTCATGGGCCAGCAGGGCAGGGAGGCCAGGTGGGAACTTGGGGCAACTCCTGGTCTCATGTTCTGCAGGAACTGGACAAGTCCTGCCCTGCCAGCCTGACCCTAAGCTCAAGGGTGGCCCAACCCGCCTACACAGTATCCCGTGCCATCCTGGGAATGGGACCCCAGGGGCGTCCAGGCTTTGGAACCAGAGTTTTCCCAGCACACACCTTTAAACTTTGCTAGACCTTTAAAACTCTTTAATCTTGTGCTTTCTTTAATTAAGACAAAAAGGAGCAGCTATGGCCAGGAGGGCAGCATGGGGCGGGAGGTGGCAGGTGAGGGTCCAGGGCAGCTCCTGGGGGAGGCAGTTCTGGCCTTCAGGTGATGTCCTGACCCTGGGCTGGCAGGGCAGGTGTGGGGGTTCCCGGAGCAGGCAAACAGAGATCCCCACACCCAGCGCTCCTGGCCTCAGTACCCCAGCTAGGCAGGGCGTGGCCAGAGCCTCGGGACCAGCCCACTTGGTCCTAGGTTTTCTCGGCAGCTCTGGGTTGACCCAGGCCTGTTTCCCCCATTGTAAGGTAAGGGATTAGGCAGGAGTAGGCAGCCTGAGCCAGCTTCCAGTGTTCTCTAGGAAGGCCTGAGAGCAGCTGCCCAGGGACCTATATCGCAGAGAATGCAAGACCCTTCCCTGACCCCAGTCCATGCAGGGAGCAGCGCTTAGAGTGGGGCAGGGTATGGGGCAGGCACAATTGGGGGAGAGAGGTGCTGTTGGCCCAGAGGGCAGGCTTCAGTCTGAGGTAGCACAGGCCTAGTGGGTACGGATGGGTGCAGGCAGTTGAGGGTGCCCTTGCAGAATACCCCCAGCTGTTCCCTCCCTAACCAGAACACTCCCAGCAACCCTTCCGGGAACCTTTGGGCCACAAACCCCAGTTGCCTGCCCCGCCCTCCAACCCAGCCTGCAAGGAGAGGCAGGAGACCAACTCTGCACCAGGGGACCCTGTTCTCTGGGGCAGGTGCAAGGCTCATAGGCCAGCAGGGCAGGGAGGCCAGCTGGGAACTTGGGGCAACTCCTGGTCTCATGTTCTGCAGGAACTGGACAAGTCCTGCCCTGCCAGCCTGACCCTAAGCTCAAGGGTGGCCCAACCCACCTACACAGCATCCCCTGCCACCAGAGAACATCCTGGGAATGTTCCCTCCCAAGTGCTTTCCACCACCACCCCAACTCTACTCCCCTCCTGAGCCTGAGCCTTACTGGGGGCCAGAGGGAGCAGGCTTACAATGCTGTCCCTGCAGAGGGCCAGGAGCAGAGCCCATGCCCAGCACTGCTCTGGCCCCTGCTTCACTCCGCACAGCTTCAGCTCCAGGATCCATGCTCAGGCCACTCCTGCTGTCCCTCTGCTCCAGGTACATCCCCTATCTGGAACTATGGGATAGTGGCCTTACTACAGGGATGATCAGGGCCCCCTCTGCCCATCCATCCCCAACTAGCAGGCAAAACTGGGTCAGGCACCAATGCCACTCCATTGCGTCCAGCATGGGGCCCAGCAGAGGGTGTCAAGCAGGTGAAGGGGACTATGGTGGTCACAAGGTCACTCCAGCTGGAGCCCAGCCTGGCCTGCCCATTTTGTGGGAAATGCCAACTGACCAGCTGGGTAGGTAACCAACTGCCCCTAGGCAGAAGCTGATGGGCAGGCAGTGGAGGAAGCGGTCACTGGTCCTTGATGACATCACTGAGTCCACTCTCGGCCCGAAGCAGCTGGCTGCTGGCCTCATTGTAGGTGATCCAGTGCTGCAGGTCCTCTGGCAGCTCGGGGGGCTCCACCTGCAGGACAGGAGGGTGAGGCTCCGGGGCTTCCACCTGCTGCTATGGGGATGAGTGAGGGGTACAGCCCAGGGTCCTGTACCAGCCAGGCTGCTGCCCTCCCATCTCTGGGCCTCTGCCCATGCTGTTCCCAGGCATGTGACCTTCCATGAGGCCCCTCCCTGTCACCTACTCAGTCCCCAGGCCCCTCTGAGCTCTCACTTTGGTCCTAGCTCTCTAGATACAACCCCACCTCTGCCAGGCCTGCCTCCCCAGAGCCAGGTAGAATCCTGGAGCCATTAGAAGACAGGGTGCAGGGCAGAGCTTTCTGGGAGCCCTTCTGTTCGTCAGGCACCAAGAAGACCCAACTTAATGTCCCAGGTCAGCTCTGGGCCTGCCCACTGTGTCCCCCATCCCTCCCTGCACACTTTTATGGATGAGGTCATACGCCTTGGGTCAGATGCCTTGCAGGGCTTCAAGAGCTGCCAGAATAAAGGGAGGAGCAGGTGCCCACCCCACCTCAGGACAAGCAGCCACATGGTGGACTGGGCCAGGACAAAGTGTCCCACTCACAGGGCTAGTCCAGGCAGGGCTGGGGCTGGGGTTGCTCTCACTTCTAGTACTGATTTGGGAGTCACCTCAATAAGGATAAAACCAAGGGTCTGGTCATTCTGCAGCCCTAGGCAGTACCACTTTCTCTGCACCCAATTCCCCAACTCAGATACAGCCCCTCCTAAGGGTGGGACTGTCCCTCCTGTGCTCTGGAGGTGCCTGTCTGTTGCGAGAGGGTGCACGAGGGTGAGCAGACCCTGGCATCTTTCAGGAGGCAGTCTGTGGCAGAAACCGTCTTGGCAACCATGACTGCCCTGGCCATCCCCAGGGCCAAGGTTGCCTGGCTGCAGCAGCCTGCTGCCATGGAGCAGCCCTGGGAGGGGCCTTCAGCCCAGGAAGGTGTGGGCCTCCCTTCTCCAACTGTGGAAGGCAGAAAAGCTGCAGCCTTCCAGGGTCAGCCAACCCCATCAGGACCAAGCCCTTCAGCTCTAAGCTGTATGAAAGGGAGGTTCGGGTCCCCCCAAACTCCCAGCAACCACCTTTAACTGCCTTATCCATCCCATGTTCAGAACCAAGAACCAGAGGTGGTGGCTCATTACTCCAGGCCACCAGTACCAAGACTTGGACTCCAGGTCAGAGGCCTGGTCTGACATGTTTTTGAAGGGGGAATGGGTAAGGAAAACCATGAGGGGCTGAGCTCAGGAATGGCTAAGCCTGACTGTGAAGAGTTGATCCTGGGACTCTGGGACCCCCAGAACATGGGCACGGGTGAGGAAGGCCCTGAGCCCTCAGTTAAAGGCAACAGAGGGTACAGTGCTGGGCGGGGTACTCCAGGGTACTTCTTCTCCACAGAAGGCAGATAGCTGGCCTTCCCTGGGGGAGAAGGTCGGAGACGAGGAGCCCCGGGGGTTGTGCCACGGGTCGGGGGCTGCTCACCCTGCGCTTGCACAAGTGCTGCACGACGCGCTCGGGCGAGGTGCCCAGCACGTGCTGCCGGGAACGCAACAGTGCGCACAAGAAGCCGTCGCGCAGACTGACAAAGCGTGCCTCCAAGTAGAAGGCGCGGTCGTCCCAGCCTAGCAGGCGGGTGCGCACCTCGAAGGGCTCAAACAGGCGCAGCGAGCGGCGGTAGCGCGCACACGAGGCGGCCAGCACGGCGTGCGCCCCCAACTCGCGCAGCGCCCCAAGCACACCGCAGCGAGTCAGGTGCGCAGCGCGCGCAACGTCAGCCTCGCGCAGGTAGCGCGCGTTGTTCATATGCAGCAGCAGATCCAAGTCCGAAGGTAGCACGCGGCCCGCATAGCGTTGCTCCGCCAGCAGGTCGCGGACGCGCGGCTGCAGCAGGCGCGCGCGCAGCACAGCGCACGGCACGCGCACCAGGTACCAGCCATCCAGCAGCGCGAAGAAGGAGAGTGCCAGGGCCAGCGACGCCACCAGCAACCCCAACATCGCGGCGTGCGGCGGAGCCTGCTATGCGGATGCCAGCCGGAGCCGCTGCGCCGCTACCCGCCGCCTGCAGCTTGGGAGCCAGCAAGCGCCGCGGCTGGAGCAAACCACCACGCGAGGCCGGTTGAGGGGGAGGCGAACCGGAAGCCGCGGGCAGGAGCCCGCCTACACTCCCGGCACCCCCTATCCACGCTCTGTGGTCGGTTCCGCG